CGCGGGGGGGGGGAAAGAAGACTGCAGAGACCCTAAAGGGCCCAAAGGGAGGGAGCCAGCCGGCCAACCAACGAAGGCAGGAGACCAAGAGACCGGGGAGAGAGAGAAAATCGAAGCGGGGAGGTTGAGGCATGGGAGGGGGGCGGGCGGAGAGGGACCACCCCTAGGCTGGGCAAAGGAAGTCTAAGGCAGAGCTGGTCTTACTGTCCTTCCATTGGGAGGGGGCGGCGGCGGGGGGGGAAGCTGCTGGTGCCGGAGCTTCGAGAAAGCCTGTAGGAAGGCCCAGGTGCTTCAGGGGAGGCTCCGATCCAAGGCAGGAAGGAGCAGCCTCCCGACTCTTTCCTGACCGGCGGACCCACCCACCGCTGACAAGGCGTCCTCGCTGGGGAGAATCCACACCTCTGCTCAGGTGTTACTATCCTCTAATTAAAACCACCGGGGCTGGAGCTACTCCACGTCACGTGTGCCTTTTCCATTTCCCTTTCCAGTGGGGAGCGGGGCCTTGGGTGGGTGGCCGGCGGGCTGGCCGGCTCATTGAAGCCAGAGGCACTTTAGGAAAAAGGTGGTTTGCACGTTCAGAAGCTCTAGCTGCCTCCGGTGTTATATCCGAAGAGCTTTTGGCCAAGCCTCTGTGCCCCGGGGAAACCAAGAACCTGGCTTGTCCTGGCTTGTCCTGCTAATGAGGCAGAAGAAGCAAACACCTGAAGCTGATGCTCCTCCTTTGAAGGGCAGAGGTGCCTTCAGCGCTTGCCACAGAATCGCATGTTTCGCTACTGGGCGACTGTGCGCAGTGCTGGCGCATGGCTCCGAGGACCTAAACACCAAACAAACCAGGTGGGATTCCATCCCTCAAATCGTGAATGGAAGGTGTGCCTCCCGATCCCCTTTCCAACCCCTTTCTGTGGTGCACCCCCCACCCCATGATGGCAAATAACCCAAACGTAGGTTGTATGATTGTGATGCGTTTTAATTATAGTTATAAGTGGCTTCCAGTGTGAAGCTTTACATATTTCCCTCCTTCCATGGATATGTATGTGTAGGGGGAAAAATGTTTTAGATGGAGAGGGTCTGCCCAGGGATCTCTTGGGGCCCCAAGGATGGTGAGGGGATGGGAAGGAGAGAGACCCCGGAGAGGCTGAGCATCCAAGGGCTTCTCCATATAAAGGGTAAGTGTTGAGAACAAGATCCCTTGAGCTTAATCAGAACAGGGAAGACTCCAGGATTTTTTGTAGAGCTTTAAAGAAAATTCTCCCTGTGCTACAATATCCAAACCTCAGAAACAACTGATCTATGGGGCACTATAGGAGGGGCCATGTGGGGAAATTGTATGCCTTTGAAATGTATATATCTATGGCAGTAGCAACTAGTCTCTCTTCCACATCTGTTATGGCAACGCCATGTGTCACTGGGTTTCATGATCCAAAAAGCCAGGCCTCATTTTTATGACTATAAAATAAACATTGTGACTCTCTCTACGGAGTTTAGACGAGCTGGCAAATCATTTTTTTCATGCATCTGAAGGTTGAACCAGTGCAGCATGATCTATCACACACACACACACACCCCATGACATTTGGCGAGTGCCTAGTGCATCAGCTAAACGACCCCCCCTCTTTCTGTCCTCCCCCCCTTCACTGTTAAGATGCAAAAGATGATGCCTCTCTACCATCTGTGTAACAGAGAAAGGCATCGTTTTGCTCATGGAGCCAACATCCACACACAGACACACCGAGGGCAAAATGGCTCAGCCTTCATTTATGAAATGAACAGCGGCACCGGGGCGGTTGGCCAGAATCTTCCGTTAGGCAGATTGCTGGTTAGCCACCCAGAATGTGCGGCTGACGTTTCGTCTGAGAGAGCTTGTGATTAGAAGATGATGTGATGGTCGGGGACATGCCTGCGTTTGGAATGAGGTAGCCACCGGGCCTTAGCAAAGATGAGACTGCCCGATCCAAGAGAGAGAGAGAGAGAGAGAGAGAGAGAGAGAGAGAGAATGTGTTTCTGTACAGAGTGCGTGCACATGTGTGAGAAAGAGGCAATGACTCTAAAGACAATTTGGGCTTTCTCTATTGTCATTTATCCATGTGCTCCGTTCCCACCCAGTTTTCTTCGGTACTGCTCAGAGAAGTCTCCATGGCTGCCTTCTTCCCTGCTATGTCTCCTCAACAAGGCCGTGAGGAAGTTCGGACTCAAAGGGGGCCATTTGTTTAAGGTCACACCACCCACTTAGCTGAGCCTCACAGCTAAGTGGGCCACTGACACCAAGGTTTCCCAAAGTCCCAGACCAACCACTACCCCACACGGTCTGCTGGGACTCTGTCAGGGAATGGGGTGCATTGGCTGCCTTGTAGGAAAGCATGTTCTGGTGGCCCCCCATGACTGCTTTGCTTGTCGACGTGCAGAGGTTATGCGTTATTGCACATCCTAACAGCAAACTCTGGTGCCAGCAGGACAGCAGCCAAAACAGGTCTATTGAGACAGGAGGAGGAGGAGGATTTTGTTTGGTGGGCAAACTCCAAGGGTCTTCAGAATTGGGTGGGGGCAGGGCAAGCTTGCAAATTATCTTGAACTCTAAACCAGGTGGTGAACGGTGTGTGTGTGTTGGGGAAGGGGAAGGAGTGAAAAGGTGTCCAAAGACTTGGTGAGGTCAGGGCTGCCCAACCTGGTGTCCCCAGATGTTCTTGGACAACCACTCCTGGAAATCCTGGCCAGCGTAGCTGGGGTGGTGAAGGCTTCTGGGAATTTTATCCCAGGAACACCTGGGTGGCCCAAGTGAGTTGGGTCTTTCGTGCCATAAAGACTTGATTGCTCCACCTGCCTTCCCCTGTCACAGGGCACGGTGCCCATCTCTTGGCTTCTTCCCAATTTGGCATGCACCATCAGCTCCTTCTCCCTACTCTCAGAGTTTTCTGTCTCCTGGCACTTTTGTTTACTGTTATTCTAACTGGCCTCAATCCAGCCTATCTCAGATCTGGCATCCAGAACGTTTCCTGCTCCTTTTGATGATTCTTCTGCATGGAAATGCCTCTGTTCTCTCTCTTTCTCTGTTGTGTTTGCCAACCTTCCTCTCTCGCAATGAAAATATAGATCACAATCTCTTAAGGCGGGTAAGGTTCATTGCTCCTACAACCGGCAGTAGCCGCCTCCTGTCAGTGAAGAAGCTCCTGCATTTTGCTCCTTCTGATATGTGAGATCATCATTCTCTCTCTCTCTCTCTCTCTCTCTGTGTGTGTGTATTTATGCAACAACCACTGAAGTCTAATTCAACACGGTCTCAGAAGGGCTTTTTTTTTTTTGCAGCACCTGCTTTTCATAAGGGAGAGCGATTCTCCAGCTCCTTGTTGTACTCACTCCTGAGGTGTCTGGATTTCTTAGATTCGTAGATTTTGCTTCGCTGCTCATTAGGTTGGACTGTGACTCACTTAACCTTTTTGGAAGCGTGGCTGCCAGATCTGCTCTAGAATTAAAGGTTTATTCAAGAGTTCCATGTTTGTTGTATTGAAGTATTATTATGCACTTGGACACAGTATGCGCTGTGGAAATGGTGCCCAGATATGAACATTGAGTAATTTCTGCTGGGGGAAGACAGCTGACGTCATTGTTTGGCCGCCAAAGAGCCCTGTAAGGGAAAGGTCATTATATTTCCCTGCTTCACATCAACCGACGGTGAGGCTGAG